AGATGATGGAGTTCTTGGCAGCCTGATTGTTTTATCAAGCTGACAGCCAGTTACCCCAGACTGTCTCAGTCTAAATGCACATACCAGGGCAGCACAATCCAGGAGTGGACCAATATGTTCTCATAACATCAACCCATTAACCATGCTTTTCGCTCCACACTGCTGTCCCTCCTAATACCTCTCTGCATCACCACCTTCTACTTCTGCCTTCCCAAACACTCATCCACACCCTGCAAGAGCTTCCCTGCAACTTCCCATCCCGTTCCCTCAGCTGGAAAAGGAAATACTGGCATTGCTGTGGATCTTGACTGTAAATTATCACCAGTCAGCTGCTGCCCAGGGACTAGTGAGTCAACAGACACGGGGAAGGGATAGCCATTACTCACCAACCAAAAGGTGGTAACTTGGCATGGGACAGTCTGGCTCTATCACAGCCTGTTGCTTCCTGCACCTAAAGAGAATCACATGCAACATCCCTATTTCCACATCCCTCCCCATCTCCCCCACGCCACAGGAATAATAGTCAGAATCTCCTTTCATGGATTCCCCCAAACCCCGCAGCTTTTCAAACATCAGTAATGTTGACAATCATTAAGTTTCTTATGTAATTACTTTAACTGCCCGTAAAAACTTGGTTTGCAGCCTGCCTGGAAAACCATTTTACTTCAAAACGTGGCATATTCAGTTTATGAGCTGGGAAAAAAAAAAAAAAAAAAAAATCACATTTTTTTTGCCCAGACCCTGCAGAACATAAGAGTCAAGGGGACAGGAATGAGACTGATGCCTTATTGATCAATTCAATTCCAATTATGCACTGAAAACTTTTCCACAGCTTCCAATAATACACTGAGCAAAAACTTCTTCATGAAATGCAAAGTCAGATAAGTGGAAAGTTTGGGAGTTTACTGCTCAGCAACAAAGGCAGGATTTTATATATTCAGACACTGGAGGCAGGGGAATGGTACAATTGCAAGCAAACTCTTAACACTTGAAATAATAAATACAACTAAAGAAATGTATTATTTACTGAAATTCAACATTTTTCTAGGAGAGGCTCATAAAAAGCTGTGGACAGAGTAACGCAATATTACAGCTTAACCACAGCAGCACTAAAATAATTGGGCAACAAAGAGCTATTTGTTCATTTTTTCCTTGCAAATCTCACTCTCTTCCACACATACCCCGTCTTGACTGTCTGAGGCACCAGGCAGTAATGTCACCAACTTCTTATGGTATGTTCTTTTCATACTGTGGTACAAATACAGCGTTCCAAGACAACGTTAGGCCCGTCTAGACAAGGAAAACCAGGTCTTGGAATGGCAAACTTTTCCCCATCCCAGCCCAATCACTTCTGTGGTTTCTAAATTGCTGGAAGTTTCACCTTTCCCTGTGAAACCACATCAGGTATGGTCAAGGATGGGCATACCTTACCCTTTGATGCTGAACCTCACCATGCTATTCCAGTGCTCCAGCATTCAGAGCCAGACTCCAAGAGAACAAGCACACTGTGATGGTGCTTTATTATTCAAGAGGGCATCACCTACTTTAGGCAATGGACAAAGCTTGAGGGAGTGACCACACGCTGAGAATCTCTTCCCATCTATCCAAAATGCACCTTCTGAGATTTCAGTCAAGAACTGAGCACAGGTAAGTATTTCAAACAACATCACATTGTGTCAAAACACACAGCTAAGATTACCGCAGCTGACTGAATTTGGGACCCATCCCGTAGGAAACAGGTCTATACACATGAAAACATGCAACAGGACATTAGTCCACTGACGGTTCAAAGAGAGCACTGCTGCATTTTGACTGGGGCCAGGCTCACAGAATGACAAGCTGGCTGGAAGCAACAATGCTCATAGACGTGTGGTTGTGGGGACTGGCTTTTGGGGACGAGTCTCCCGTCTAGGCAAAGAAATACGGGAGCAAAAACAGTGGGAAAAATAACACCAAAGCAGGGCTATTTCCAGCTTCTGTATCTAAAGTTAACATAGAAAATTCTGCTGGGAGGACAGGAAGGAAGAGAAGATAAGCTGACATTAAAATTGTACCATTGGAGCGAGGCACACAGAAGTCCTTTTCCATGCAAAAGAGTAGTCAAAATGCCATCTATCTACACCTAAGCAAAAACCCCTACATCTGCCTTGAGACAGCCTTGGCAATAACACTGTTGCAAGCAAAAAAAATAACTGGTTTATCGGTTTGGGGGCGGATTGAAGTGAATTTTAATTTATTGCCAATTAATAAACTTCTAATTACTGTGCCCGGCATTGGACCACACAGGGGAGAACCACCCCTTGCTCTCCAACCCCATCGCCATACCTGGCGTACCATTGCTCCTTATGATGTGCATACAGTAAGCAAATAGCTTATACAGGCAAGTCGTTCTTAAAACAAACCAAAAGCACATCAGTGAAACATGATCTAAAATAAACCAGCTATGTTTGAGGATATCACTATTTCCCCTCCTGCTTCAGGGTTCTGCAGCTGCAGAAATTCCTCTAAACAAATCAAAAGAGCTTAAAGCTTATGCTCCCACGAAAAAGGTTTCCAGACAAATATTTTATATACATATATATATACACACACACACTCACTCCATCACAGCAACCAGACCAGAACACTCGCCTGGGAAAGCTCCTAGCCACACTTCAGCATTTTGCTGATACAACTGCAGTCAAGATTAGCGATTTTTCTTGCTTACAAACCACACCAGCAGAAACCTTTCTGCAGAAGCCCTTCAAGTGACTGCTAAATCTTTCTGCCTGCATAAAATGTTTCTTTCCTAGAACCCAGTTCAAGCAGCACCAGCAGAAAAATTCCTGCAGTAGTCATAGGGGCACCTTAGGAGGAAGTGGTGAGACTGGGAAACTGGGCACACAGGAGGGGTGAAAGCAAAGGGGAGCATTGCATCAGTCTAGCTTATGTCTGCAGCAAAAGAGAGGAAGCAGTAACTGCCATCACACCAGGTTTGTGCCAGCAGAAACTAAACTGCAAAGTCACAATCCTGCTGTAAGAAGTAACAGCAGTAGAATTCAGTGGCAGGACTGACCAACTTTACTTGGACACACGTGGCATAGCGTTTTCTGTTTGAGTTTTTGCACATTGTTTTGTGCATAATGTATCATCTTGAGAAACAGACCGCTTGAAAACCTAAGTGCAAGCAATGCCGTTTATGTCAAGTAGATACTAATCCTATTCCCCCTCAAGAGATGACTAAGTTTCAGCTGGGTTAACTCTTTCACTCCTGATAAGATGGGTATCACCACTTCCTTGCTAAAACCTATCTCACAACTACAAACCATCTGTAAAAGCCTGAGTGAAACCATGCAGGTATTTCCCCATGCAGGAGCAAACAACCCCTCCACTCTTCCAAATGAGCATCCTTATAACACAGACTCACCCTGACTACATGAAAAGTACACAAGAGAAGCAAAACATGGGCTAGAAAACAACAAAAAAGACTAAGAAAGATTCAGTACAGTTACAAAGACTGCCCTGTTTGTGTTTCTGCTCAAATATGAATCTTCTCTGTCCCATCCCACAAAGCAAAACAGATCTGCTGCAGGTTGTCTAGCCTGCCACATCACATCAATGCAGAAACCCATAATGCCTGGCTGCAGAATTTAGGTCAGCTTGTCTGCGGAGTCCGTAAGGTCTTGCACAGAGCCATGAATTTCCTAGTAACGCTCCAATAATCCCTCTTCAGCCTGCTGTGCTGTATTTTACTAGTAGCTGCCAGCTTTCCTTTAACTCCCCAACAAACACTCTCCACAGGAGGGATGTTTGCAGGTGAATGAGCCACTACCTCTTCTCTGGGAAGCAGGAAGCTAGTTGTTCAATCCAATAAATGCCAATTCTTATTTCCAAAGACAAAAAAGTGAAGGGTGCCCAATGCAGGCTAGAAAAGGACTTCCCTTTTATAACCACACAAGGGAAGATATAATCAGACAGAGCTGGAAATTACCCTTAGAACACAAGGAATAATTTTCTACACAGATTATCCATGCAAACCCCCACTGTTTCCACCTGGGTCAATAAATAAAAGCAACATAAAAATGTGACTAATAAATTCAGACAGATGCTGGTACTTCTGGAGAGAAAGCATCACCCAAAATGAAGAATACTGTGCCTCTTTACAGAACGCTTCCCTCTAGAAGTGAACTGTGGGCCACTGCCAACCCAAGCGTTATATAAGCACATGTAAGTAGGAGCCCTGTTCTTCAGGAATCTCTAAAGGTGCATAGGAGTCTTCCCAGGACATGGTCCTCGGAGCAGGAGTTCCACTTAAACTGGAAACTACAGTTATGTACGGAAAAAAACCCCAATAAATTGAATACAATAAACCAAAACCTTGAACTTCTCTGAGTGTCTTCATACAACCAGATGAACTAAGTCTTTTTAACTACGACAACCTGAAAGATGCGAGTGCAAGAATAAATACCTGTTTCCATGAACAGTCATGGAAATCTCAGCAAATAAAAAACACAGCTACCAAACTGACAGCTGGTTTTGTCTTAAAACCCATTAGTCTGTTACTTTTTCTGTGCTCTCACGGTTACCACATAACAGCGTGCTCCTCAAAAGCTGGCACTTACACCTCCCTGCTAGAAGAAACAATAAAGCTGAGGAAAAACCCTTTCCTCAAGACATCAAATTGCTCTTCAACGTTAAAACATTTGGTAAGAGTACTCCTAGTTCTTTCTTTCCAACTCATGTGGAGCCTGGATACAGGTATTAGCAACACAGACCGAGCTGTACTGCAAATACCCTAGAAAACAGAGAGTTGCATTTACGTTTACCTCAGATCTGTCATGAAACTCGACCGTACAACATGCACCCATGCCAGGCTACAGATGATGGGGTTGTCATTACTGGCCCACCATCCTATCACACATGTTAGCAAGGCTTGGTATGGAACAGAACTGTGTTTTTATAACTAACTCACAGCTTCACATCAACCCAGCATCAGACAATCCCCATTCCTGGCTCAGTACCTGATCAGGCTGTGCTTGTCCTCCTTCCTCCTCCGGCTTCAGCTGGGCTGAGCGCTGGCTCCAGGAGGCTCTGGAACACCAAGCCAGGCGCTGATGGTCACTTTCTCATTTTGACAAGCACCACGCACTCTTCCTGTACAAAAACAAACTGCTGTGAGTCAAAGCAGCCAAATAAAACGTTGACGCTAGCAGGGAGTGAGAGAAATGCCACTGCAACACAGAAGCAGAATGTCAGTCCTCCTTTTGCCACTGATCTCTGGGGAAGGCTGAGCACACCCCGACTTCAGCAGTTTCAGAAACACTCTAAATGAGCTGCCCTGTTCTTGAAGAGCAGAGATTCCTCAAACTAGCAATTTGCCATTTCCCACATATTTTCTTAAATCCAAACTTGACCATGGGCACAGTTATTTCTACGCCACTGCTCCCCTACATCACCATAAAAGCTAGAGCAGATCCCAGCGACGTGGTCGCTGCACATTGTGCATGCTCCACATAATCACTTCAATGACACTTGAATTGCTGTATTACAGCAGTATGCCAGGCAAGCAGTCCACCTTGACTCAATGAGCTGCCTGGAAAACCTCTGGAAAATACCTCTATCCCCAGGATGGACAAAATGGGGAAGAAATGGGATTCTTCCCTCTCCTCCTTTAGCCCAACACTTCACCAGCCAAGACCACAGCGTGGCTGCCTTCACCTCCAGTGACTCAGACGCTCCAGGGCAGAGCAGAGCTCACAGATGCAAAGCAACCACTCAGCAAAACGAACAGCCAGACTCCAGCAGGTAATTCATGAGTATTTATTTTAGCTTGCTGCTTATTAAGTATGCCTCCTTATAGATCAAGTATTCCACAGTAATTGCCTGCAATCAACAAACACCCGGAAAGCCGCTATGTAGACCAGTGCTGCTTCATAGCCGAAATGAGCCCCCTAGCAACAGGCATGACTTCACATGACTCCTGTGTGCACAGCAGGCTGGCCAGCACTGCCTCGCTGCCCCTCCTGCTCCAGCTGTGCCCCAGGCAGTGCTGCTGCATGCCCAAGCCCTTCCCAGCACCATGGACCACTGCACGCTCCTGCCAGTGTGGGGATGCTCCACAGGCAGGGCTCAAAGCAGGGACATGGGCTGCATCCCCTGCCCCCAGCACGTTGCCTCCACACCAGCAGTGAGTTGCTCTGCCGTAAGGGTCTGTGCCCAGAGCCAAGCACCCACCTGAGCTGCTTCCAAAGCACTGCACAACAATAAAAGGCAAGCTGACACCCCCCCTCCCCAACACACACAGAGATACTCCCCTCCTAGTTTATTTTCCAAGGCCTTTTCAGGGCTGGCCCCTGCTGGCACTCAGAAGCCCTCAGGAACAAGCCCTGTGTCATGCTTTCCACTGAGAGCACTTTAAAGGTCAGCTTCCAGGTTTATCATCCTGGATGTCTACTGCTAAAAAGAAGATAGGGAAGACACTGCTGAATACACAAATAAAACATGCATCTGAAAGAATTTCCTCCTTCAAAGGGATTGGGGTGGTCAAGCATTCGAGAGAACAAAATGCTTTTTGCAGCATGTATCACCAGAACTGTAGTTTTCAGAGACTGTTGTCTTTTAAGTACACAAGGGGGAAAACATTCTGCCTAGATACTTTACATAAGGTCTATTGCGCGCAGGTTTCAAAGAGACCTTTGGATGTTCCAGACCATGACAGAAAACACTCTCAATAGGCACAAGGCCATTCACCTTGGCTGTTTCTGTAATCATTATTCACGAGGTCAAAGACCCAGGTAAGAAGAGCCTAAGCAGAGGTCACCATGCCCTCCAACCCCTCCTTGGCAGCCACCCCACAGCTCTTGCCACTGAAAACGCTCCTGGATTATGTTCCCAATCCCATTTGCATTCTCTTTATGCTTCACCCTTCAGCTCTCCCTCCCATTTATGAAGTAACAACCTCAATTGATTAAAACAAAGCAGCGTCTTCAGAAACATCTGCCCTGACACAAGCATTCATACCCACTGTTACAGAGCCAGTATGGGGGACAGTGGGTACAAAGGAGATTAAATAAGGAGCACATGTACCGCTTCTCTTATAATCTGGTCCCCTCTGGCACTCATCCCCTTTCATCCTCTATTTTTGAGGCCCCTTCAGCACATGGAAAGATTTACACCCCATTTACACTGGGGTGTTGGCATCATCCAGTGCCAGTTTGATCTGAATCACGGCCAGGCACTTGGCACGTAACACGTTCAACCTCCAAATGCCACGTCCTATATACTGTAGCCTACATGTGGCCACCTTCATTTGTGCAGTCACTTGATCAAACATCTTTTCCACTAAGGAAAACACTATTTCTGTTGTGCTTGACTGAGGTTGAATTTAACAGGGAAACAATCATTGGCCACAGAGTGGAAGAAATACAGTGATGCACTAACAGAGCAAATCATGAATTCTGTAAGGAACCGAGGAAGGAAGCCGCAGTATTTTGGGGAAGAAGTGGAGATCTTGGAAAAAAACTTTAGGGAATAAAACAAGTAAAGCAGTTCCAATCATTAGAGGTGTAATTTCAGCACAACTCAGTTCTACATGTATCTCCAAGTATGCAGCCAGCAGCAGACTTCTGACAATCACTTTGGTTAAATGCCATCTTCCTCCCTTGTTGCTGCACAACAACAACAAACCACCACACAGGAAAAATGTCATGCCATCAAGAGAGAAGAAAAACCCCCAACCAGCCCAGAAACCTCCTGCAGAAGCATTGTCAGGAGTAGCATGTAACATAACCAGATAAACACCAGATTTTGTTGCTATCTGAGTGAGGTTTCACAATCGGCTCAGGCTGATTTGTGGCCACCGTGCTGCTTAACACTCCCACTCTGTCCCCTGGTGTGTGCCTGGAAGAAGCCTCCTGCCTGACCAAGGCAGAGGCAGGTGGGCAGGGGGGCAGGACTTCCCCTTTCACCAGCAGTGCAAGCTCAAATCTGCTCCAGCTGGTCTTGAACCCACGCTCCCTTTGGAAAGCACCTTAGGCATTGCTCCTACTCCAAGGGAGCCCACAGGATCCCACTGCTGCTCCCTGCAGAGTTCATTGTCCCTACTAGAGCCTCACTGCAGCTTTCCACATGCCACCCAACACCCCCTTTATTTCAGCAGCTCCCTGTAATTCTTTCCTTCCCTTTGTGGCCACCTCCTCTTCCCCTCTCCATGGGCTATGTGCAAGTTTCTCCCCACTTCCTCTCTTCTGTTGCAGACAGCAAGAATCTAACCAAGATATCAATCAACAAATAAATCAAACCTTGCTGGGCAAGCAGGCAGAATTTCCCAGTGGTACAGGTAACCTGTCGTTTGATCCACAAGCAATGAGATGGGGCTGCTGGTGTTACATTCTTTAGCAGATAGCAAGCCAGAAATGTAAGATCTTACAAGTTCAGACAGCAAGCAGGTAAATAACCAGACATTAACACAGAAATCAGTAGCACAGAAGGCCACCATCCTGTCTTCATTCACAAGAGACAGCAGAGGAGGAGCACCGTATGCTCCCCGCACTGACCAGCTGCACACTGGTTGTGACCAGGCTGCTGTGCACGTGGACAGACCATGGTTTTACAACACAAATTAGGCAGGTGCAAAACCATTCAGCTAAAACCACACTCATACCAGCTCACCCCGTAAAGTTTAGAGGTGCCTGTAATGAATTCTTAAGTCCACACATGGGTCTGTATTTGCAACATGCATTCAAGCTGACTGCAAACCTGGCCGTTCACCTGTGAGCATTAAAGCCCTGCTTCTGGAGATGTCAAACAAAGAGAATTCATACACTTCCCACATGCAGAAAGTACATAAAACTTCGTGCTTTAAGATTTTCTACCATATTTACTCACACTTACCTCAATTTTGCTACCTCCTTTCCTCTGCCACACCGTTACTCTCTTCTTCCGCATTGTTGCATGCCTCTATGCTTTTATTTTCTGGCTTTTCTATGTGTTTTACTGTTTTTGTTCCCTATAACTCTGGCCCCAGCAGTTTCTTTCTTTAAAGTCTGCTCTGATTACTCTGATTGATGTTAACAAGGACAGTCTTAAATTCACCTTTCAATCTGGGTACATCCTAAATCAAATTACACGATAAATAAACAAAGTGTAACCACAAATTTTAACCACTAGAAATAGTCTTGTCCAAACCACTGCATTATTCATTTTCCTGATTTATTATTAGTACAGTTCTGTCTCATTCTCAGTCCACTCTTCTCCCACTATTCTCCTGTTAGACTCTTTCCTGCCCACTTTCCACAGGGGCACTAGCAGTGACCCAGCTCAATTTCTGCAGTGCACACAAGCGTTTGTGTATCTGCATTCCTCCACTTCCTTGTTTCAAGAGCCAACAGACTTGTTGTCAGAGCGATAAGAAAGGATTGGAGCACAATCCTCAAGCCAGTCTTCCCTCTCTCCCTGCTAACAATGCCAATGAGGTAAAAACAGCAAAGAAATTAGCATGGGTTATGAAACAGCAAACATGACTTTAAAAGAATCAAGTGCATGAAAAGTTTCATTTCCCTTTTGTCAGTTCCTCTTCTAAGCTAGGTAGTTTAGGCTTTAGTTCTTAATTTAATTAGACAGAAAGCAAGTCCATGAAAGTTTCTGGATGGCAGCCATTGAGAGGAACCCTGTATGTAGACTTCTCAGATTGTGTTTTTAAGCACCACTCAGATTAAGCGTGAAGTCTGGTTCCTCTGTGCATCTCTGATGAAGGCAATTGCTAATGCATGTGGAAAGTGTTTGTAACCATAGTTGTGCTTAAACAACAAAGCAAGCCAGTGCACACTGCCTTTCACACTTCTCACCACAAGTTTCAACGCACAGACTGTCAGACCAAACTAATTCCCATCCTCCCTCTCCACGATCTGTACACAAAACACTATGTACAAATATGCAAGATAGACACTTTTTAATCATTCACTGACATTTGCATTGGTTTAGTGGACAAAGTTATACTGAACAATCCAAATGATACCAGCTTAACTCCGTGTTCCTCTGTGCCGGGCTGCAAAGCCGACAAAATACCTCTTGCATAATACTTCTGTATGAAATATTCATATTCACAGAGGAAGCCTTTGCACTGAAAGGTTATTTTCAATCATTAGCAAATCAGC